GGGGGGGGGGGGGGAGGGGAGGGAGAACTCTCAGCGGGAACCGCGAACCAATAATAGTCCACCGGCACACCGCTTCTGTCGAGATCGAAGAGCGGCGGTGTGGGCATATTTCGTTCCCTTGTTTGCTCGTTCGTGTGATCACGCTGCCAACCAGAAAGCCGGTAAAATTATCGCGAAGAAGGAAATAAAAAATGACACACGAGCACAGGGGTGCCGGAATCGTGCCTCAAGGAAAAGCGCCGCGTCTGCCACAATTGTTCGCGAGCTCCATTCGTGTCGTCTGCGGCCAACGAATCGGAATGTTGGTTGCAAGGAGAACATACCTTCACATTTGCATTTCTAGCAGTACCCAATACACCTCCCTCGTAATGAAACATCTGCCTGCCTGTCCGTCTCTGTCCCGGTCTCTCTCTCGTTCTGTCTTTCTCTCTCTCATACCAGCGTTGTTTATCCCTGGGTACGCGAGGCGTCCATGTTGTCGTCGGCGGCCTAGCCCAGTTGACGCTACTCCCAGAAACATACACGTATACACACACCTCCTTCTACTCGACGGCTCTCACCTCGTCTGCAGATTCGAAAAACGGCGGGTTCGTCATGGAGAAGTCGAAGTCTCCGTCTTCTTCTCTCAGTGCGGCCAGCAGCGGCCCGGGCGAAGCCTCGTCATCGCCACCAGCCGCAGGCGAAGGGACCAGCCGAACCTCAACTTGCTCCTTTGAGATTGTGGAGGGAGGAACACATCAAACCAAAGAGGCACGGTGGTATGGGTGCAGGGACTGGGGATAGCACGAAAATATAACCAAGTACAAGCAGAGTGAAGATCGCCATGATGCCAACTTCAATCCGCGTGCGGGACAAAAAATATCAACACATTCCTCGTTATTGTACAGCCTTAACAGGGGCATGGCGGTTTCCACCAGGGCATTGCGGTTTCGACCACAACATACGACATCGTTCGAGTGCTGAAAGGAGCTCAGGGGTGGTGCCCGGGCGTGCTGTGTTATGCGCCAAGGACTCGCTGTCGTATGTTGGTAAGCGGGAGATAGCCAACGCTACTTCAATGCTCAGGCTGCCGACATCACACAGGACGCCTACCAAGGTATTCCTGCGATCGCATCCTACGCATTCCAAAAGCCTCAAAACCGGCAGGAAAACAACTAGCTGCCTCGAAAACGCCAGCGCTGTTCAGAGGTTTGTTCGGAGGTTTCGTCACACAAACGAAGCACTTTGATCACACATACATATGTTTGTTGGGAGTCGACACCACACCCCGCGCAAGGGAGCCTCTTCGCTAAACCTCTCCCTACCCTCGGCGTACCTGCAGGTCGTTGGAACGAACGTTCTTCTCTGCCCACTCGGCCGAAACGGGGTCAATCTCTGTCGCCAGGAACGACCACCCCGCCACCCTTGCACCCAGAAGCGGGTAGATGCAAGACGCGCCCGTGCCCACGTCGACGCCTCTACGGCTAGGCTTCTTCGGCCCCCCCGTCGTCTGGTCCAAGTCGCCGTCGACGTCGGCGTCGTCGTCGTCGTCGTCGCACACGGCCATACCTTCCCCGCCATCATCCTCCACCCCGCGCGTGGTCCCGTACAGAAGCAGGTTCCTCTGCGCCGAGTTCATCCCCCCTCCCCCACCTTCCTCGCCTGACGCGTCCTCCGGTGACGAAGAATGCCGCCGCGATGACACCGACGGCGGCGAGAGCTTCATGAGGTCCGAGAGCCAGCAGACGTAGTTGAGGCGGTTGGCCACGGGGGGGCACAGGCGGTCGAGGGGCGCGTCCCACTCCCGCAGCCCGAAGTCGTGCCGGAGCATGACGCGGGTCAGCTCCCTCATGGCGGCGGGGTCCGCCCAGTCGATCGTCGCGCGACCCGTGTCCGGGTCGTCCCGAACGTGGGGGCCGAACGTGTCTGGAGATGGTTCACATGGTGGGTGGTTTTCGAGCATAGGGAGGGAAACCGTTCGCGTTGAGAACGCCTCAAAAGATTAGACGGACAATATGGGAGGGATGGCAGGTGTATGGAAAATCGACGGAAAATAGGCCGTTCGTAGCGTCGCGATCCGCAACTAGCGCTGTGCCGTGTGGCGATACATTTGATCGGGCGGGGGATTGTGTGGTTGACGAAGGGGGGTGGGAAAATACAGACGAGTCCTTCAACAAATGCAAGTCTTGGTTAGGGCGTGGTACCGGTTGGCGGGTCGTTTGTGGTAACCCGGGTACCTGTCGCGCCATTTGGAGGTGCAGGTGCGTGCCATGATGGTTAGCTGTCCGTAGGAAAGGACCAATGTCCGAATCGTGAGTTTCCCATGTCCCACAATATAAACATATTGACAAAATCGGCGACTGAAGAACAACGTGTGTGCTGTTCCACGCGATGTGCGGACGTGGAGATTCAAGAAGAACGGATATTCAAAGCGATATATATATATATATATATATACGCTGCCGCGCGGGTGCGTGTGAGTGCAGACACGACGGGGATCCACCCCTTCCGTGCGACAAAGTCGAGACAAACAAACGGGTCTACTTTTTTGTTGCTTGCGCAGAAGGCCGTTTCAACCCTAAACGCTCACCCGGATACTCCCTCGCCAGTTCACGGAAGTCAGGGCGGTAGTGACGGTACAGGTTGGCGTCGTGCATTTTCCCGCCGCCAGCACTGGCATGCACCTTCCACGGCTTCTTCTTGTTCTTACCGACTGCTGTGCCCCCGCCGTCACCGCCACCGCTGCCGACTGCGTCCGGGCTTGCGGCGTCAGCAGCAGCAGCGCCGCCTTCGTCGAGGGCATCGTCGTCGTCGTCGTTGATGGCGAAGGTGCTACCGCCCCCGTCTCCGTTCCCGTAGCTGGTCAAGCCTTCCAAGGCATCATCGTCGATACCGCTACCGAGTCTTCGCTTCTTGCTCAGTGGGGATTCTGGTTGTTATTGTTGTTGAGACGACAAGCAAGAGTGGGCGGCAGGTGCGGTGTAGAGGCTGTATATTGATGAAAACGGGTGGGCACAACCTTGAATACTTCCTAATGTATTAGGTCGGCCTTTGGTGGATGACTATATAATACTGCTGTACGCGCCAACCTTACAGCAGTATCTTTTGTGCATTCCTCTCGAGCGGCATCACAACGGTGAAACACTGCTCAGAGACACGCCACAGGACCATGACACAGGAGGGATTTACTGCTGCAGGTGTGCAACAAAGGGAAAGGGTGAGGCGGACTTGCAAATATGCTTCAGAGCTACCGCGAACATGCAGATGCTCACTACATGTACCTTGCTATAGACGCCGATCGCCCCCGCACAGTCAACACGGCTTAGACACAACGGACAGCAGTGACTGCTGTGTGCAGCAAAGCGGTAGCAAGGAAGGAACGGGCATTGCTGGTGGTTCGAAAACGATGTGTGTCAGTCCGGTTTGAAATCAAACAATGCCAGCAGCAGCAGGGGGGGGGGAAGCAGCACCTACAGACCCTACAGGCACAGACAAGGCGGACTAATTTCGCCGCACCTTCGTTGAACTGCTCGCTTTCGAAGTCGGCCCTCGATCTCGACATGGTTTACAACAACAACGACACACGGGAAGCGTGGTGTGTGCGGTGCAGTGTGATTGAGTGGCTGGCGGTGCTGGGTGGGCTCGACCTGGGGACGCGATCGTGCCGGGCATTGAGAGGATCCGTGGATCATGACGTTTGGTGGTTTTCCAGCACACGCCCACATGGCGTTTTGGTTCTCTTTCCCTACGCCTATGCCTCGCGCGCGCTGCTCCGTCTCGTTCTCACGTCTATTTGCACTCTGCACGTTGACTGGCTCGTCTAGGGAACCTTACCCAAGTGCCTGCTTGCCTTGAGTGTAGGCGACGACTGCTGTCACCATGAGTTCCAGAAGAAATACGAAACAGCAACGCGGCGGTGAGAGTATGGCCGAGGCGATGGAGGAGGACTCCTCCGACGAAGATTCTGGACCGGAGACCATGCCCAGCAACACCAAGACCGCGGCAGCGGCAGCAGCAGCAGCAGCGATGACAGAGCCACAACACAGCAGCGATGGAAGCAGTGACAGTAATGACGGCGATGGTGATGATGATGACAACAGCAGTAGTTTCGGCAAGCGGAAAGCGGACGATTTTCTGCGGCGGCAAGAGCTCGCCATGGACCCCCGGTTCAAGGCCACCGTCGTGCTCCCCGGGGACGACGTTACAGAGACCACCACCCGCACCACCAGAAGCCTAAGGCTAGGCCCGGGACTGGTGCAGCACGCCCAGGACAAGGTCCTGGCCACTCGCGCCGGGGTGCTGAGATATCGCCCCCCGTGCACGTACTGGGTGGAGAGCAACGGGCGGCGGTACGGGGCGAGGGTGGAGGATCAGGTGCTGGGCATCGTGGAGGACAGGATGGCGGATTCCTACAAGGTCAACATATTCGGGAGGTAATCATGCCTGCTGTGACCATTGTTGTTGGTAGCTGATCTTGCGACTTGTGGTTGTTGCGCTGGTGGCGTGTCATGGCCTGGCTTGAGCTTGGTACAGGTTGCCAAACGGAAACGCGGTGTAACGTCCTTGCTGGCGGTCTGCATACACAAGAGTCTCTGCTCCAACGTTTGCGTAACTTGAGCTACTTCGCTCCGTCGGCGTTATTCCTTCTATCTCTCTAAATTACCTGTTCTTTTGCTTCCCCCCTTACGCACGTATCTCAGCTGCGCAGCTTTGCTGGGCATGCTGGAGTTTGACGGTGCTTCCAAGCGGAGCAAGCCAAACCTCAGGGTAAGCGTTGTTTCTCGGTGCATACACTGGGCCGTAAACCCTGCTAAGCATTAACTTGCTCACATGTACTAATTAGTTGTTCCAGTTGGCGATCCCAGGTATAGCTTGTTGCAAGCACACCGACCGCCGGCTGCGATACCACCTTACATAGAATGTTTTCTGCTTGTGTTAGGCACCACGGCTGTTTGGCTTTGTTCTGATGGTGTCTGGAACGAGCTGTCACGTCGGAAGCTATGGAATTCCCTCACACGTCGCGTCGTTGACACAGCTATTATAGTTTAAATGGCAGCCAAGAGCCGAGGCGACCCGGTTCTCGCAAGACGTTGGGATGTCGCCGTTTAGAACGTGCGCTATCGCCGTGTTCTCTTCCTGTTTTTTCCTCCCCGCAGGGCATCCATACAACACTCCAAGACGTTCAATCCTGCAACATCGTTATTTTTTGTTGTGCATGCTCTTCTCCAGCTTTCCTGGTGATTGTTGTTTACTCCTGATAGTGTGGGTGCTGGCTCGAGATATCGGCGACAAAATGTTTGTTGGTGCATGTCCGGCAGGTACCCCGATCACAACACGAGAAAGCGAGGACTTTTCGCCCCCGGACGTTTGTGTGATCGTGGAAAGATTGTACCCCCACCTCCAAGATTTTCCCCGGGTGCTCTTTCTGCGCATTCCGGTACACATTCAGCAAGAAGGGCCGTGGAATGCAACAAGGAGAACACCCCCCTGACCACCGCCTCTCTTTCGGAGCACTTGTCGCAGTTTGGTTGATTCGCCCATTGCATGAAGAGTAGACGGCCGTACTTGAGTTTGAATACTTGTGTGTCGCCATGTTGGAAAAATCAAATTTGGGTATCTCCGTTGTTTTCACCGTTCCGGACGTTGGACGGCGTGCGTCCACACTGCTTCTTCTTGTTCTTTCGTACAGCAGACTATTCATATCATGATGGGCTTGTAGCACATGCATTCGACATCCCCTATGCATATGATGAAAAATGTGTTGCTGTTGGTCTGAGCATCGGCGACACGAGCCCATTGAATATCAGTGCGTGGGTTTTATGAAAAAGTAGACCTTTACCTCCCCGAGCCCCAGCTTTTCCTTCTCACTGGGCATATCGCGTGTTGGGGATTGTGCTCCTGCTGTTCAACGTGCATGCCCCTCATGCGGTACACCCGATATCTGAAGTGATTCGCAGCAGCCCGGTGTGATTTCATCGAGACCAACCCATGCGACAAGCATATTCCCACGGTCTGTGCCTATGCTAGCCACCAATCTCGTGCCTTGCCCCGATTCGAGCAGACCGGGTCGCTAGTGTTCTGCCGGGTGGCGGCGGTGAACAAGGACATGGAAACGGAGCTCACGTGTACCTGTGAGTTTCTGCTTGTGCCACCCGTGTCGGAGGTTTGCAGCTCGAGATGGTGCATGATGTTTGCGTCGGATGGAATTTGGTCGGTGCTTGTCGTACTAGTGGTGTGAAGTAGAGCGTATCCGAAGGGTTCTGGGGTGGTTTTGTGTACTGGTGCATATCCAAGGTACGGTAGTTTCGCTGCCTTGAACACTGCTGACCAGGTACAAATATTGCGCCGTCCATCTTCCCATCCATCTTGCCGTGAGTTTCGTCACTGTCTTACCATTGATTCGCTTTCGTGTCCCTTCCTGCGCTGGTCCTTGTTTAGCAACACATCACGGCTCCAAGAAGGACTGGATGACGGGACAGTCGACGTTCGGAGAGCTTCGCGGCGGCAAGATGGAGCGGTGTTCCCTCCTCCTTTCCAAGAGCCTCACTAAGCCCGACTGCAGGTACCGTGTTGGTACCGCGCGTTCTTTGGGGGCAACGCGTTGTTCGGCAGTTAACAAAGTGAAACATGCCACCTTTTAAGTATTTTTTTGCGGAAAGCCAACAAGCAAGTCAGACTGAGGGTCCGTCGGAAAGTTTGCAATTGTGTGTGTTCATTATTGCTCTCGATGATTCTATGTTGCTGGACGTGTGTGTTTTCTAGTTGTGTTTCTGAGGCGCCATATGGGTATTGACTTTCAACATGGACGATTTTTTCCGGTGTTCTTGCTTAGCGTCGGTAACCCCGTAGATTTCCAAATCCGTAGCATAGCCACGTTCCACTTTGTTCAATTCTTCCACCTGCGGTGTCTTGTGCACGCCCGCCTGCCTACCTTTGGCAGGGTGCTCAAGAGCCTAGCCAAGTACATGCCTTTCGAGCTCGCGGCGGGACTCAACGGGACATTTTGGGTGGACTCAGGTAAGAAGCTTGTGTTCCGTAATGGTATCTAAGAAATGAGGCTGGTTCTTTCTCGCCCCTCCTCTTCCCGTAGACGGCAGTGTAAACAGTATTGTTCGAGAGGTGAGGAGTACTCTTTTTACGTTCTGTATTTTTCGCAGAAAGTGGTCCAGTCCATCATTTTTGAAGTGAAGACGAATAGCTCGCAATCACGATCCAGGTCATGCTAGAAGTTGATATTCGAGACATGAAAAGCGTGTGCTAGCTTCATGGTCGCGCACCCTTGTATCCCGCGCTCCCGTTAGTCACCTTGCTTTTTGCACTCGTTGCTCGCAGGTTCAGAGGCACACACGATCGTGATCTGCAACGCCATCCTTAACTCGGAGGTAATGACGGATGCCCAGACGGACGCCATGGTAGATCGGCTGGCGAAGCACATGAAGCAGGGGCTCGCGGCAATGGATGCATGACTGAGGTAGCTCCCCTTGCTTTCTTGGGAAGGCGTGCAGCGCTTGATGAGTTTGGTTTTTGGGGTCTCTGGTGGAGGGCATCGAGGAAGGCTTTGTGATTATGTGATTTCCTATCATCCCTCATGATTCGAGGGCATCATCCTCCACGTGTTCGAGAGCTTTGGAGGAGACGGAGGGTAGCTGTTGCCCCCGACTTTGCACTCGCTTGTGTCGGCCCTTCTGCTGCCGGTTCATTTTCTGGATCGTGGCTTGCCAGCTCGAATGATTTTGATTTTGCAGCGGGACTGCTGTCCCTCATGTCTGCTGTAGGAGCGTCTCGTATTTGCCTCTTTTCGGTTGTTGCGTGGTCCATTTGCGCAACAGCCCATCTCAGAAAACAAAAGAGTCATTCTAACATCGATTTTGTCCCTCCGTGCAGCAGTTGGGAAGCATTTGTTTTTCTCAATCCCGTTGTTGAGCAAATCCAGTTTGTACGCAGCAGCTTCATTTCTGTCCGTCTAGAACAGCGCGTTGGATAGCAGTCGTTGTGTGCCTAACGAGGTATCATATGCATACGCAATTCGAGCACAAGATTGCCAAGTTGTGTTTGCTCATGTGTGTGTGCACACGATTCAGAGAGGAACAACCTGCTGTCACGGTGCCGGTTCACGAATGGACGAACCCATGTGCATCAACACTTAAGGAAAGACTCGGCGGTACAACTCGATCAACGTTATCTACACAAATTTGATGCGGCGTAAGCGGAGTAAAACATACTGCGTTGTTTGTGGAGGGCTTTGTTCAACAGAGGGCACAAGCGTGCCAGCGCCACACTCTCAAGCACCCGGCAACACCCTGGCACATGACCCTCCGGTGATGAGACAGTCAGTTTTGTCTTGTATTGGAAAAACGCTGCCTGCGGGGAACTGCTCGGTGTACGAAGTACGAAGTACCGTCGTGGGCCCGGTTTGGCGGTCCCTAGTGTGACGAAATTTTATAACCGCTGTTCAGGGCATCGCCGCTAAACTTCTTTAGCCGTCATGAACCGCTAAACCGGGAAAAAGCTGATTTTTGCCCTACAAGAGCAGCGTCGAAAGCTCATCTTGACAGGGCTCATTGTAGCAGCCACACGAAGGTGCAGATGAAGTAACGAGCCAAGGAAGGACAATTCCGCAAGTACACTCATTAATAGTGCATTTTAATTAGCCAAAAGCACGAAGCTTGTTCTCCCTTCTGGACTGTATGCCCCTCATCAATCCTGGAACATCGTTCGCGTCTCTGACGAATCGAAGGTGATGAGACAAACTTGTGACAACACAATGGCATCCAACCACGTGCTTGAGCATCCAATATCTGCCATGTGTCACGTATCGATCACATTAACCCAACATAATCTCTCTGATATTTGCCTTGCGCGCTGGTTGAGCGGCGCGCGCCGCGAGGAACGCCATTTTTGCCTTGCGAAAACAGTGTGCTGCTTCGCTTACGCCACACCACTCCGCGCTCTCCATGCTGGCCAAAATCCGATGATAGCTCCGAGTATCTGTGGTGGCGGCGCCATCACCCTCCTGCCCTTCGTATCGTCAACTTGTGCCGTGGTATCTAGCCCTAGCTCTAGGTCGTCGTCGAGGGGGTTAGGCCCCAGTCCATGTACATAGTGGACAATTTTCAACAACCTCGTCATTCGCGTCCTTACGTAAAGCTTCGGCTATCTCTTCCTGTGCACACTATTTCTGTAGTGCGCTACCTTCTTGTCAAGGAGTTTCAAAATCTCGAGCTTCTAGCCGAAGTAGAGCCGCTCGTGGGGCTGTTGTGTAGCCGCAGCGCGAGTTGCTTCTGGTGCTAGAGAGCCACCTTCCACCTCTTGGCGCTTGGGCGGATTGGGGACGCGAGGGGAACTCTGCGCCTTCTTGGTTGCACGCCGGTTGCATCTCGTTGCCATCCGGTTCCTCCACCTCCCCACACAGGCCGTGTATGCGGCCGTCACAGCAACCTTCACAAGCGTGCGCACCGCTTGTACTTAGTGCCGCATCTAGACTAGAAGCTTGCACAGTTCTCCATCCACGCGCCGCATGGTGTCTTTATTATTAGTATCGACCGCGCTAACCGGTTGACCAATGAAAGACGTCGTCGTCAGTCTCAGTACGGTTGAAAGCACAAATCACTTCTATTTGTCATGAACTGGGGGACCTCGTGAGGGGGTGGCATGGGGCAGGCAAAAGCTGTTCTCTGGATCAAGGACATACGGTAGCAACAGAGGAAAACTGCTACCTTGCACTCTAGTTCGTTTTGGAGTGCTTTCACCATCATTCTCCTTACTTTCACCACCATCACTCTCATCGTCGTTTCTACGGCTAGTTTTCGGCGATTCTTCACTAGCCCTGCGTCGTTTGGTGTGAGTGTGTCTCGCTGTGTCCTCTTTGTTGTGAGCATCGACCAGCTAACAGGCTGACCAGTGTCGCTGTGCCGTGAGTATGTGCAAGCGAAGAGCGGTTTAGGTCTCCGCAAAAATTGAACCCATAACCGCTATTATTGGTGTTGAGGGCACCCCCGGTTTAGCGCTAAACCGGGGTGCAGCCGTGTCACGAGATTTTATAGTCGCTATTCAGGGCATCCCGCTAAACAGGGAACCGCTAAACCGGGCCCACGAATGTACGAATCACGAAGTACGAAACGATGGTGAGATCTTCGACATCGATCTCCGTCATCGATCTCCGACATGAACCTGTGCTTGAGGGACACCCAGAGCAGCAAGCACCGCGCGACTCTCTGTTCCTCTCCGTGCAGAACCCCAGTGCAATGTTTGTTGCCACCTCGCAATCACGCGGTGCTGTTGTGGTTGCTGGAAGGAACTCCCCACCGTTTTTTCTGGTGGGTGCCTGGCGCAAGTTGGCGGAATCTCCGTAGAAGCGGCGGATTGGAGGTTAGGGCGGATGCGGAGGTGGACACATTTCACAAGAGGGCCACGTACTTTATCGCAACGCTACCGCCACTACTGCCGTTGCCCAGCCACACTGGAGAGAGCGGAAATGGCGGACAAGGCGGAAAAGGAAGCTGTTCCCAAGCTGGTGGTGTTTGATTGCGATATGTGCCTGTGGTGAGTCGGTTATGTTATTCCGCTGCGGACGGATTCCCCAGTGCGAACTCAGTCGACTGCACGACAGCAGCGTTGAAGGACCCATGCCACAAGACCCCAATGAAAGGCAACTTGGTGGTGAGGTACCATCGGGAACCGATATGGTTTCAATGCATGTGCCCTCCCCCCCAGAGATCGAGAGGTCATCGTGCGAACGAGCGTGCAAACGTGCACTCGGTAGCGCGGAGCAATACTCTCCTCTCAAACGCCCCTTATCCAGGACGAGCATTACACGTCACTACAATCGACCCCGCTTGAAGGACGCTCGCGTTAAAGAATCTCCCCGCTCTAAAGATTTTTTTTAACCAATAACCAGAAACGGGTATACCCGGGTACGTTCTCGCCATTTTGGGGTACAGGTAGAAATCAACACGCTTGCACCCCCAGGCTGTCAGCTGATTGGCCGAAAAACCGTTGTACCTATTTCTGAAGAAACCTCCATCAGGTACAAGTTCCGCTGGAATTAGGACCCTCTGGTGTGACCGATATTGGTTACTGGTGTACCCGGAAGAGGTCAATTTTGTACCCAGAAATGGTCATATAATCCCGGCGCCCGACGCTCTAGCATAAAACCCGCAGAAAAAACCGTGTACCGCACATACCGTGTACAACAGCTGCAGCTGTAACTGGGTATTGGTATGGATAGATTCCTCCCATCTACCGGCGGTCCATCTGATGCCGCAAAAAACAAAGTCGTGCATAACCTCGTCTCTCACCGAGGGCGAGGTTATCTTTCGCTTGGAGGACGTTCGATCCTGTTTGTACGCGAAGGGAAGGGGTGGCGAGTACCGCAAGACGCAGTGCCTTCTTTCAAGACCGTTCATTCGTTCACTAATGACACCCAACAGAGCCGTAGTGCCAAGCCGCGGGGGAGGTTCAGGGAACTCTTCGCGATATGTGGAAGGAAAAGCCATCAGGATAGCTTTTGGTCTCCGCCGGGACAGTGATATGTATTGGTGTCCCTCGGTGCGACGCTGAAATACGCTCCTTTTTTTTTGTTTCAAAAGAATGAGATAAATATATGTCTACTTGGACTTTCCCCCTTCTTCCGCTGCCACCCATGCCGTACATTAGTTGGCCAAGTACAAACTGGTGTACTGTAGTTGTTTTCAACACATCCCCGACTGCTGTGTACATCTCATTTTAAGTATTGTAAATATGTTCGACGGCAACAAACGGTTGCCAGTCGTCTAGGCGATGCTGACTTTTCGTACCATCCCCTTCCTTAGCAAAAGACGCGTAGTTTGAGGTATATCATGCCTCCATTGGCCCCGGGGATGGTGAGCTATCGTCCCCTGAATCGTAAGGACGCAACCCCGCTTTAAGAACGCTCTTTGGGGGGAAAAACCATGTGTGTCCTTGAAGCGGGCTCGACTACACCACATCGCTTAGTCCTGTTGCGTGTTTCCTGGTTACAGTAGATGTCGTGCTACACCCACACATGCAGTGGCCGCATCATACGGCTCTCGTTGTGTTTTCCGACGAATTTGCAAGCCTCGAATTTCAGCGTATAGCAGAATAATGCAGCAGTAGCCTATACACCATCTTGCGCTCGGATGCACTTCGTCCTTCGAAGCCTCTACTTGTACAGTAGTTGATCGCAGCGGATGAACGTATTCGCCTTTGAGACTCGAGGAAAATGCTCTTGTGTGAGGTAAGAACGCACGTGAGCAGCGGTGTAATTTTGACAGGCAGCATCGAGACAAATGGCAGTCACCCCAAAGAGAAGCGGAACAACAGTAGTATGCATACTAGTCGTCGGTACAGCAGTGTGGACTCCTCTACGTGTTGGAACTACAGTACTACAGTACAAGACAGCCGGCGCCTCATCTCTCCGATGCAAGACATGCCTCTCAGCGCACGGCCAGCTCATTAATGCGTTGCTTCCCTACCGGATAATGATAGATTATTCACTTCAACACAAAATGCTCGCCTCCCTCTCCACCAGGGAGCCCGAAATGTTCGAGCTCCAACAGTCCCCGACCCGATTGGACGAGGCAACAAACTCGGTCGTCGCTGGCACTGACCGCGTCAAGCTTTTCAAAGGCGCGGAGCAGGCCCTTCTGGAGTTGAGCACACAGGAGAGGTTCTCCGACACTCGCGTCGCGGTGGCGTCATCGACGTCCCGGAAGGAGTCGGCCATGGCATGCCTTCGGCTGTTTCAGGTATGGTACAACACAGGAAGCAATCGTCGTGCTGCGCGCGCTCTGGTTGTCACGTGTCTACGTCGTTGTGAATGTGCTGGAAATTGGAATGGGAAGCCTGGCCGAAAACACGACCACAGACCCAAGATGTGATGTTGGCTCGTGTGCGGCTATCACAGTGATCATGCCGACGTGTGGTCGTCGGATCGTTGCGTTCGCTGCAACGGCAGCCAGGAAGATCGGGCGTTGACGCACGTATTTACTGTGTTGCCGACTGGACGTTTGTTGCCAACGCGCGTGATTCGCCACCAAGTAAAGATTTTTGAAGTGTTTAGTTTTCTTGTCAAATAGTTTGTCGCGTCGCAAAATAAAGAGTATGTGGCCCTCTTGGAGTGGCCAATCCTTCAAACACACCGAGCCTTTTATTGTTCGCTTGGTGACCAAAAATGTGCACTCTTGGATCTTTTGGCTTGTGATTGAAGTCGGTTACTTCTCCCTCCGTAGAGTGTTCATCATGAGAGCACCGTGTCATCAAGGGGTGGGGCAAGGCAAGATGATGAAACAGGCTGGACCAGCCCATAACTAGCTGCCAGCTGCCAGTTGTGACATTACCCAAGCTCAACAGCTCACGCAACTGGCGTCTTTTTATCTCGAAAATCCCAGCGAACCTCAACGAACCAACAAAAAAAAACTTCGAATCTGTGTACAGCATACACAAGAGAAGGTATATTTGCGGATGTACTGAAATGTTGGAAAACACTTCGTGCCACCCAGGAACCTCCCTGTATGTCTGGCGGGAAAGATTGATGTCAATACTGCTTCCGTTGAGATGCGGCACCTAACGGGTGGAAGATCGACGAGGAGCGTTGGGTCATCAACCTTTCTTTTTCTTCTGTGCATGGAGACACTCGCTCGTTTACTGTGGGGTACCTACTCGGCGTGCGGCGCAAAATGTGGAGGTTGTCATGCCTAGAGTTTTGTTACTTGGGGACCTCTGCCGATGCGGTTCTCAGCGTGCCTCCGCGCTCGCTGACATGATTGGTGACTGGGTGAGACCTCCCGTATCTCCCAGCTCCGCTTCCCCCCGTCGGTTCACCAACTCGCTCTCGTGTCCCCCACCCTCGACATCGAGCCGACTTGCCGTTCCTGACTCTGGCAGGTATCCCCTGGAGTCACGGCCAACGACGTGCTCTCGTACCGAGAGATCTACCCGGACAACAAGGGGACGCACTTCAAGAGCCTACAAAAGGCGTCCGGGATCGCCTACAAGGACATGCTGTTCTTCGACGACTGCAACTGGGGTGACAACTGCAGGGACGTTGAGTGGGCATGCCCCGGAGTGGTGACGACCAAGACACCGAACGGCTTGACGCCGGAGAAGTGGGCAGAGGTGAGTGGGTCAGTGGTACGATCTGTATTTTTTTTTTTCGTTCCGTTTGATTTCACGTCGACTGCGGGGCTGCCGGGGTAGAAGTTGGTGCGTCTGGGCGCGACAAAAGATGCAACAAGGCTCTCGCTAGCCCGTTCATTGTGGCTGTATTCGTCTATGCGTGCGTACCAGAGCAGCACACACCCGTGGGTTGGTACGCCATTGCCACGCAACCGGACCAGAAAAAAGTGTAGATGGTGGTATGACTCGGGACCACATGAGCACGAAAAGGACGCGGTATATTAACCATCAGTGTACTTGGAATCCCCAAGACCAAAATGGGTCCACATACACGAGAAGCTACATGTAATGCATCAGAGTATAAAAAAATAGCACGTCCTCACTGGTTTCACCTCCGCGATAAACTTTCTTGTAAATGCTGGGACTTTTTAGGGCCTCGTTCGGTAAGGGACAAGGTTCGACTGCGACATCCCAGGTGAGGCACTGCGCCCTCGGTATTGCGCGTCCATGTGGTGCGTGACTTGATGATAAGACCAACCCTACGCTTTTTCCCGTAGGACCGCTCTCAAGCATCGCACCGCTTGCCCTGCCCGTTGCCGCTCCTCACCCGTTCGTCTTCTCGAACGAATCTCGCTCTCGCCAGGGACTCGCGAAGTTTGCCGAAACGAAGCGATAGAGGTGCGCCTTGAGCAGGAGCGACGGAGGGGACGGATTCTCCGTTCCCCGCTCCGTGATGACCTCGTTGTCGGTGTTTTGGTAGCGTTCGTCTTGATCGAACCTTCGCTCCATCGTTGTCATCGCCACCACATCGTTGTCTCGTCTCGTTCAAGACGATCGCCCGCTTGGGATGAGTACGTTTCCGGTAGATCGTGTGACTAGACAAACGCAGTGATGCCACGGGTTCGAAGACAATGGTGGACACCTTTTGTGTATGTGGGGGATCATATCACCCCAGATTTTGAAGTCTGTTGATGGAAGGGCTGAAAGACGCCTACATTGGGTGGAGGAGACGGGGGGTTGCGCGAAATGCCGGCACAAGCTGTTGACACGAGCGGCAGGATGAATCAGTTGAGAGTTGGTTACCCTTCCCTAACCTCTGCAAATGCTTGATGTGCACTGCAGTTTTGACAGCATTGAATATTGCCGAACACCAGTTATGGTTTTTCCAAATTCTCGGAGATTGCGACTTGGGTGAGTCTAGTTTACAACTGGTTGTGGCCGTGCCCTGCTTACTTGCAAGGATACCACATTCCACTCGACTATCGCGCTTACATTTCCTGATTTTATATTTTCTCAAATGTTGCCACGGCGAACAGTCGTTGATCATGAGAGTTCAGCGGAAGCACGCGCTTTTCGCAACCACTGTTGATGTTTTATGTGTTCTTCGCACTCGGCAGTACAACGCACAAACCACGTTTCGATATCACGCCAGTGTAGGGTACTCGCCTGCCCCCCAGTATGTGGTTGCAAATGGCGAGGTGGGACTGGTCGGCGCGAATTGGGCATGTGATATACCGGCGAGCAGCGGTGTGGAGGATACCGTGTCCCGGTCTTGCCCTGGAATGGGGCCTGAAGGAATCCTCGGTGTCTCAATTCGAGCCTTCCACGATTTGCTAGTTAGGTGCGGGGCAGCGAGACGATGGCATGGTCGGTGTAACCCCGGCGTTGGAGACGCCCGACCAAGTAGAAAGTCTACAAGGATACAATCATGCGCTTGCTTGTCTTCGATTGTCTTGGTGTTCTTTTGTTCTTCTCTTTTTCTTCTTTTGCTTGTCCTTGCGCGTGCAAGCGATGAGCTTTCTCTTTCTATCTTGTGCGAGGTCTGACTCACTCTGGGTTATATTTTCTCTGTTCTTGCGTAGCTTGTACCTATTTAGTCGAGACTATCGCATTCGAGATGATTTTCTTGCCCCTTGTAAGTGGTCATTGATCTTTGAAAATGTTGGGGCTGGTAGTTGGACCAGGCTGAATGAAGTAACTCACGGAGATAGGGATGGTTTCTATTTTCAAGACGATCTAAAAAGCAACCACATTACCCAATGTTTTATGTTCCATCAACGGTGTCTCGTGTGTTACGAGAGATCGTTAGAAGCAACAAGAACTGTCTTTTACCGTTAATTATTCCATCACCACACAACCCCGGTGGTCTACTGGGTACAGTAACCTCTTAACCTACAAGTACGGCAACAGGTTGTGGGTTCACGCACATCTCGGGAGCGAAAAAAATGCAGTTCTGCCGCGGATATAGCGGCTATCTCGGGAGCGATAATACCAGCAAACGAGAGGGAAGTGGCTGTGCCGATGATGAACCCACTTGTTGTTCGGCAAGCACCGTACGGATGATGATGATGGTTGGACGACGAAAAATCCTGCATTATGCACGTGCCTTCTCCTGTGTCACCCCCACCTGGAACACTCAACCCCTCCAGACAATGAAGAACGTGTGTGTTATGAATTTATCGCGTAATAACAACCGTAACCCCTACGCACTGTGTACTGCTGTGGCTAAGTCTATGGCAGCAGTTGTGGGCATCGACTATTTGTGCCGGGGAAAATAGTGGGCAAATCGCGGACAAAAAAGCGTGCATGATGAGCACGAAAAGAGACATGCAGACTCGCGCCAGGATAGGCGGGACAAAAATACGCACGGCATCCATGCAAATGCATATTTAAGTACAGACTCTTCAAGGAGACGAACACGAGAGAGCGGTCGACAATCAATCTTGTGCCTGGAAACGCACATTCACTCCCCGGCCTGCTCCCCGGCCGGGGCCGAAATCGACCTTGTGAGTCCCTCGCGGGCGAACCAGGCCACAACAGATAGTAGGTGGGTGGTGTCCCAAGGTGCAACTCACCGCC